CTGTATTTCCAGTGGTACATGGTTTAGATATCTGTAGCTGCTCCTTGTGTTCCAACATATATTTTGCCATACAGTATTATAGTTTAAAAAAATACACTAGGCTTAAAAAGTTTGCATTTGCACTGAAAGCATAGGAAAGATTAATCCTTTCATATATAACATCAATGAACAGTTTATAACTGGTTCTAATGCTATTTTTTGGCTCTGTGTTTACTCATTAAACCAGTCAAGTAATGACTGCTGCGTTGATAAGAGAGAACAGAGGTAATATTGTTATCTGAAAACATCGAAAACAAAATATATGCCACCAAACCAGGGTGGTATTCAGCAGGTTCTGACCAGTTCTGGAGAATCGGTAGCGGAAATTTTGAATAGTTTGGAGAACCAGCAAATAGCACCCGACTGGAAGTTTTACAGTATCCTTTCCCTGCCCTGCCCACCAAGCCACATCCACAGAACCGGTAGTAAAAAAAATAGAATCCCACCACTGCACAAAACTGTAGCAAATGAACCTACCACTGAAACTTGGGAGGAGTGGGGAAAAGAAGCTTGTACTTATGAGTGCTGAAATAAAGATTTTTTTTTTGAAAAAATGCAGCAACTGTGACATATTGCCATGATGTTTGTTTTTGCTTCCTTCAGATAGATTTTGCATTGTTCAGTCATACAGAAATTATTGGAATGAAAGCTTCAGATTTTGTGAAAGCATAACAACCTCAGATGTTTCTATTAACCTATTCCCTCCCTTTCATTAAGATTTCTGCCTGTGTTTTAGAACATTACACATTATGGCCGCAATATTTTAAGAATAACTTTAGTTATTTTCAAGTCATTGAGCAATAATTTAATATAGCAGTCAGATTAGTTATGACTAGAATTAGAATCTGTTCATTAGAGCCTGTGTATGAACCCACATATCAACTCCTGGATTATAAGCAGAAACAGATTTTCCAATTTTCTATTGGACTAGAATACAGAAAAATGCTGAACACATTTTATACTGATCTCTTCAACTAACAAAGTCTTACTACACCATAGCCAAATATTTTAAAACCAACAGGCCTTATGTCTTTATCTATAGCACTGCTTCAGTTCCTGCTGACACCTCTGGAGTATTGTCTTCTCCTGTCCTGGTTTCATTACCAGTTTAAGTAACTCAGTAAACTAGATATTGATGAAGTAAAATGGGAAAGTGCACTGGTAAAATCATTAAAATAATGATAGGAAGATGAGAATAACAAAATACAGATGTTTTAAGGAACACAAACTCGCAGTCATGGAAACTAATTCCCAAAATGCGTTGTTGAAAACACTGTCTTTCAGAATGCAGAGCTGGAATGAGAGAATTAATCTGATCTCAGCCAATACAGCAGAATTGACTAATAAAATTAGTATAGTACAGGAACCTGGAAGGTAATGACATGCTGGAATTCAATCCATGAAAAGCTAGCCATGAGCTTAATGTACTCCAAAATTCAGAAGTTGATATTAATTAAACCAAGGTGGTGTTAACTAATGTTGTATGGCTAGGTATACTAGGAAAAGAAGCTCAAGATAGCTGGAAATTTCTGAGGAGGTTATAAATTGCACGATTTCCAATGATAATGAGAGACATCTAAAAAAGCCATCTGGCTAATTAAAAATGTTAATAAACTACTGAAAATAAAACAGAAGAAATGCAGCTTATGCATACATATACATACATATGAAGAATGCATACATATGAAGCCCAGCTCTACAGAAGTGATGTCAGCATGACCTAGACTGGCAAGTAACAATAATAGGAAGATGGTGAAATATTAATCATGTTTTTTCCTTTCCCCTTTTTCCATACTGAGAAATATGTGCAAACTTGTCAGAGTATGACTGATAAACAACTGTAACTACAATGCAAGACTAAGCATTAGTGACTAGCTTTCTTAATATATCTACATTTCAAAACCACCTTAAACTATCAAAGATGTTGCTAATGCTAACAATAAGGCTCCTATTATTTGAATAAGACCTTGAAAACTTCCTTGAAGAAATAATTATGCAGATAAAGAGAAATGACCTGAAAATGAATAAAGGCAGTTTAAAGATACATTTTAGATCAATAATCTTTTTATAGCAGCATAACAACTAAATGACAAAATCTGTATCTATTCAGTTTACTGGATTTTCTCCTCAATGGTTGTTACTACCCAAATACTTTACAAACTGTGAGAATACTTCTAATTCAAGAGAGTGTGTGTGCCATCATATCACTGTTATCTCCTCACGACTGCCTGAATTAGTCCTGCAGTTTTCTTGGCGAGATTTTGGAAATTTCCCCCCTTGGTAGTGAATGTGATCTGATTTGATTTATATCTGCATCGGATGACTGCAAAAATTTTATATTTCATCAATTTTTAAAATAACTTTGCTGATTTATTTTGCTCATATCTATTTCTGGCTCATCTTTTTTTTTCTAAAGAGAGGGAAATTCTCTTCCTTTTCTATTTATTCTCTGGGAATAAACAGAATCGTCCCTGTGAGAAACATTACCTTAATTTTTCCTGTGGGCATTTTTTAATGGAATATCTACTTCTTTGAGAGGAATTGCCTATGTTTTGTTGTAAAACCTGGCTATAAAAGAAATCTGGATTATATTTAAAATGAAAACAATATATTAAGGATTAACATTATACATTATATATTCTGTACAATGCCCACAAAGAGATATAAAAGAGAGTCAGATCAACTTAATTTCAAAGCTTTCTTGAAAGCCTTTGGAAAAAAAATGCTAAATGAAACTAAATAGAAAGTTTGATGATGTAACAAGAGTTATAAATCAACCTAAGGGAAATACTCAGATGCAGGTAATTACAGTTAAATCAGACTTGCAAATGGATGGTTTGGAAGTCAATTTGTTGCTGACAATTGAAAGAGCTGTTTGAGAATTGTAGGTTCATTGGAGAAGGCTGAAAGGGTTATGAATTTAAGTTGGCAGTATGGACTTTGGAGAATGAGATATAATTATTGAAAGATTCCAGTTAAGTTTTTTTTTATTAAAATTGTATTTTCAAGAATCAATCAAATTTGATCATGGACAGATTAGAGATAATAGCAGTGGTCTATGGTAGATTAGAAGTTGTAGAGGACTTCCTGCATGTGAAATAATAAATTGTTAATAGAGTTTTGAAGTTTAATTTTGTTGTTGGCTTTAACTGTTAACTGATTTTTTTTACATTAGAGGGTAGGTCAAATTAGTTGGGCAAATAGAGCTGTGGAAGTTTATAAATTGTAGATTTGTTTTGCAAGTTGAATATTATTATTGTTGTTGAAATATATTTATCAGTATTCAACTGGGAGAACAATATTTATGCATTTTTGTCTCATCTTTGATTTGTTTTTGGGAGATGATTTGGAAATAAAATAACTTTGGAAATAATTAAAAACAGCTTATAGAGAAACTGGCCCAAGGTCATCCAGCTGGCTTTGTGTACCTAAGGTAGGACTAGAACTCAGTCTCCTGGTTTCTAGTGGGTTACCTTAACCCAGGGGTGGGCAAACTTTTTGGCTCGGGGGCCTCATTGACTTTTAAAATTTGACAGACGGGCCGCTACCTGATGTCGAAATGCCTGTCATTACAAGTCAAAATCAAATGAATGCAATCATTCAATCATTCACATCAAACCTTAATTCTTCGGCGGGCCGGATTAAAAAGACCAACGGGCCGGATGTGGCCCTCGGGCCGTAGTTTGCCCACCCCTGCCTTAACCACTTCACTAAACAGGCTATTTCTAATTCACAGGAGTCAACCTGTAACTAAAAGTCTTTCATTAAGAACTTACTTTTTATTATTTAAGATTCCATCCAAAACTAGTGTTATAAATACCAGGTTGCCTAAGCCATTCAAAAAGTGATTCAGACTTTTAAAGTGATTTAGAAAATTATTCCATTTGGGATTTATAAAAATCTAAGCTAAAAAGTATTTTTGTACATGCACAAATCACTAGTTTTGAATCTTTTCAAATTCAGTCCAATATGAATAAATTATTCTAATCAAAGAATTGATCCAACAACTCAAACTGAGTTTTCAGACTGCCTGTGAACTCAAATTTCTGCATTTAATTTTTAGTTGTTCAGCCCTAGTTTTTCACACATATTTGGCTTTTCTAATATATAGGAAATATATTAGAAACAAATTTCTCACTTAACATAAATTGTGGTCATAAGTTGAGGAGTACCTGTATACTTTTGAGAACTGCTTTTCCACCAAGAAGTTGGCAAATTTCTCCCTCATTACTAACCTTAAAATAAAGCATGATCAAGTCAATATGGTACTATGGTGATTACCCTGTCTTAATTAGCATCATTTCTAATACAGCTGTTATAGGGAATGCATTGTACAAAGTGAATTTCTTCCACAGAAATCATTCCACGCAGATTATATTTCACATTCAGTGGAAGGAAAACACGACAGTATTTCAAATCTGAAAGGACAATATAATTCTTCTCTCTCTTTATTTTTAGAACAAGTACACAACAATGGCAACTCATCAGTGGGTTTTTCTTATTGGTGCACGGAAGAAATTCATATTGGGTGAAGAAGCATTAAGTTTAAGACCTAAGAAGTAGACATGTATTCAACCGTGGAAATTTTAAAGATCGGATAAGCAAACAAATTAGGAGACAGCTGCAGTTGGAAACATTGAATTTTAAGATATCATGGTTCAGTTTTTTACTCAAGCTTTCAGGTTCAAAATGGACAGTGTTTATTATGCAGGATTTCTATAGTGAAATGGGACGAGGAAGTGAACAAGGATGTACATCATCTTGATCAGACTGGGCTTAATTCTACAAAAGAAGCAAGACTCTGTAACATTCAGGAGTTTGCATGTTAAAGATTTCACAAACATTTGTTACTGCATTTTAACATCCCCTTATGTTAACAATACTGACTGCAGTGAAAATGATTTTGTGAGCTCTTTTCCAAGTAGGAGCTAACATGGTAAAATGATGAATGACAGGTTTAGAAAGCCAATCAAGAGGCACTCTTTAAAAGAACTGTTTATTGATACTGAAATCTGTGTTTTACTTCTTGGTTGACAAAAAAAAATCATGGTCCTTTAAAAAAATCATCTTAACATTTTCATACATTCTCTTTCCATTCTTTTAAGTGCTGTCTAACCTAGTTCTCCACCTTTAGTTGGCTATCAAGGCAAGAAATCTCAGAACTTGTTGCCTCACATAAAAAATCTCAGCCCAAAGGAAAGGAGGTTAATGATCTCACCAAACAGAAAAATTAAGTATCAGCCTCCTGCAAAAAAGAAAAAAAGAAAAGAAAGAAAAAGTAGTAGTATGCAACCTACTGTGGCAAAAATTTACCCCAAGAGTGTCTGAATACACTGGTTGCCCACTAAAGACAAAAGCTACTTTATACTTTGAATAATTGTAAATGGTAGTGAAGAAAAATCAAATCAAATTAATTTGCTTTTGGAGTCCCATGGAAAGTCTCAGACAAAGCTTTCCTATCCAAGTATTAACTGGCAATCTAGAAGCAAGCTTCAGCCTGCATCCTTCCACTTAAAAAAAATCAGCAATGGCATTACTATTATTAAACAGCTTTAACTGCTGCCTCTACAAGAGGGAACTTAACAGTTTTATTTGGCAGGGTTTAAAATTATGAAACCCCTGGATATCGGAAATAAAAATGAGTAACAAAGATCTTTTTTGCTTATTTAATCAATATTAGATTGGTTATTTAATCAATAATTCTGAAAGAAAAAAAAGAAGCCAAATAATCATTGACAACAATCACTGCCACCAAAAAAAACTGCAATCGAGGAGAATGCTGTACATACAAAGGGTGTGTTCTGTGATACTTTCGTTGGGTGTATGTGATAATTTAGCATTTAGAATTCAAAGAAGAGTAGATTCATCAGATTGGAGAATACAAGACTCCATTCAGATTAACCAGAATTGCCATTAAAGGAACTAAACACAAGCATTGTGTTAATAGCCACAGTGGCAGCTGTAGGCTGGGGCAAATTTTATAGGTCTTTTTAAGGAGATGCTCCTTATTGAGCTATATCCTCCTTCCTCCCCTGCCAGTTCTGAGAAGTTCTTAATTTCAACACCTTTTTGAAGAGATGAAACAACTTCTCAGGTCAGTTTGACAATTCAGTTTTCACCAAAAGAGTCCTAAGACCTGGCAAAACCACAGGTGGCTCACAAATGTTGGAGGAAGTAGCCAGGAGGCATAGTGTTTTGTTCCTGCAAAACAGGGAATGCTACAAGGGAGGGCAGGTGAAGGACCATTAGCAGCTCTGATATGCAGGAGCAGGCAGGCGATGCAAATGCTTCATCGTCACAACTGAGAGGGGGCATCTTCAAAGGTAATGAGGCTGGATTCTTGGCTGGAAGCTTTTCCAACATTGGCAGAGTCCCGGCTCTTTTCGGGTAGCAAGGGAGTATCGACCTTGGTATTTTCTTCATCTTCATCCTCCATACTGGGCCAGGCTGACTGATCTTCCACACGCTTCAATCGTTCATTCAGTGCTTTTAGAGCCAGTTGTCTACAGAATGAAAAAAATGGTACAAAGTTTGAACAGTCTATCATGCATTCCACAGAACAGGAAT